GTGTGTGTGTGTGTGTGTGTGAGATCTATTTGCAAATCTACCTGGTCCACTGGCCCTCAGGATTGAAGCCACGCCTGCTCCCCTCCCACTTCTGCTGAACAGTATCCTGCTGTGAGCGATCAGTGTAGGAAGTGGAAAGAAAAATCCTCTCAGTGTTGCCCTGGAAGTCTGGGATTTAATCTTTTATTTTTAAAGCACATGGGTCGACAGAGGCAAACTGAGTGTAAGAGAGTGACAGTAGCTTGCCTGGGGTGAGTAAACCTCGTCTGACAGGAGACCTATCCGGCATCAGTGAGTAATATTATGTGAACACGGAGCATGTGCAGAGAGAGGGAATGACAGTCCTAGGAAGTAAGAAGCGAAGACTGAGCGACTTTACATCCGCACGCTGTCATTTCACCCTCGGCTGCCTGCCGCTTGGACTAAACAATTAAAAGGGGCCCCTGGGAGGCTTCCCTGCAGGTTGGGGTTGCTACGGTGGCATAGCATTGTTAAAGAATCTCCAGAGAGAGAAGAGAGAGAGCGAGAGAGCTAGAGCTGACGTGGGAGTGGGAGCTTTATGGAGCGGCATGATATGGTTTTACTGTGAGGAAAGAAGGTCAGAAATGGCAAAGAGACGACTGGAGATTTTCAAAGAGGATACAAAGAGGAGAAATGCTTGTCTTTGTGATGACATCCCTTGTGGTGTCATGTTCAGGAATGCCCTTTAAGCAGTTGGACCAAACTGTGGATTACACCTGCTGCCGAGGATGACACTTTTTATAAGAACTTTCACCGCTGTCCGATGATTTTCTGTCTCAATATGTACCTGGCACTCGTTCTACCTCAACCAGGCAGCATGTGATCAAGATGACGTGAATGTCACCCTCTCCCAATGTTGTTGACTCTTCTGGTGTGTGGCAAACATAGAAACTGTTGCTTGGAGCTATCCACAACCTTCTCTTCCCACTGGACCTCATTCTCATTTGCGGTTGTGCAGCTCAGCCTGACGGATCGTGGCAAGTTGAGACGTCTTTTGATGACTCCAGGAAAAGAGTGCCAACGTTACAGAACGAGGTTGGAAGTTCTCCCTTTACGCATCCGTCCTTTACCATGGACTCCCACCGTGCTTACTGGAATTCAAGCATGCAGAGCAGCACGTGGGTGGAGGGGGAGGATCAGGATGTGTACGAGGTGGAATCCCGCGTACCCCTTCCCCGACCTTTCCCACTTTGCAGCACCTTGAACGAGAAAAATGCTGTGGTGGTCCAGACAAAGATCTCACACATCAATCACAGGACTAATGGTCACTTGCTTAAAGTTATCTCCAAAATCTCCCTGCCTACTCCTCCTTATACAGTAAGTTTTACACCTTTAACCCGCGACTGTACAGCTTTTAAATTACACATACAGAGTAGGTATGTGCAATTTTGAAACAGCGTCTATGGATGTAGGGCATGTAGCTGATTAATATCTTATGGGCACATTTCCTCACTGCCTGTTTTATTTAGTTCAGGTCCACACATGCAGATTTGATGCAGTTCCAAGCAGGAACCCAGCAGCTCTCTGTGCTGCTTATCAATTAGGGTCACTTTGCTACTTCCTGCTTCCAGTAACATAACAAGACCTTTGCTCAGGTAGATCTCTATGGAAATTAAATATGAAAGGAATGCAAACACGCAGGCGGTTTATTGCGTTGTAATAATTTCATAGCAGCTTCTCTGCCCTCTGTGACAAGAAGTAATGGAAATGAATGGTGATGTCATATTGTCAGTGCATCTGTGTCACTTTTACACATTGCTTCATTTTATTTCTGACTCTTGTACATGTACATGTCCTCCTCCTTTTTATGTGCATGTATGTTGTAAGCACATTATGAAACAGTGGACTGTGTTCTCAGGCCATTTGCAATAGTCATATATTTTTAAAGGTGAAGACAAAATGCTTTTTTCAGTCAGTTAAAAATAACTTGCTTATACCTTCATATATTGAATTTGCTCTCTGGCTGCAAATTAAAACCTTATCAAACTAAAACTTTCCTCGTACACTCATATATTGTTATCAGTATGAAGATCACTTATATGAAAATGTTAAAATAGACTGCTGTGTGAAACCAAACTTTTCATATGCATTTGTCAACAATTTAACACAAACATGATATAATCATATGACAGGTAATCTGTGTTTCCCTTCTCCGAGTTCGGTAAGTCCAGGTTTATTTCTCAGTATTCCTGCTGACAGTGGATGTCATAAGTGTCTGTTTCACATGATGAATAGATGCGTTGTTTGCTGAGGGTTGATCCAGTGATTTTTACATGTCACTCCATTGTGACAACTTTGATAATCCTTTCTGGTTCCTAAACTACATCTCAAGTTTGTAACTCAGGCTTTCTAAACCAATGTAACTCTGATGCTATCCACTGGGAAAGACTTTATACAACTGATTTCTCCAGCTGAGTAGTTCTTTCTATGACGGGTAAACTGATCTACATGTGTAAAAAGTGCTCCTTTAGGACAAAGATCCAACATTAAAAACATTTATGCTTGCTGAGACTTAACGAGTTATTCCTTTCCACCTCCTCAGCTTGAACATGCCCGGATGACCCAGACTGAGCTGATGCGGGAGTCCTTCCGCCACAACCAGGAGATGAGCGAGCTGCTGCAGAAGCAGGAGGAGCTGCAGGAGAGGGTCTCAGAGGAGTCCCGCGCACGGGAGCAGCTGGCTCTGGAGCTTCACCGCGCAGAGGGTGAGTGTTTTTAACTGACTTTGTGTATTTGTAATTTTTTACAAAACAGGATCAGTGTGAAATGAATTGAGTTGTATCTTGATTTAATTTGTTTATCCAAATGTTTGGGCTCCAGGAGGTCATCACAGAACCAGATTCAAATGTTAAGCCGCCTTCTTGAAGATACTTTCTTCACACTAGTCTTCAAGAAATGCAGTTTCTCCAACAGTCTCCATGGATTCCTGAGGGCGATCTATTAATGATTACAGAAAACAGAGCTGCATTAGAGAGCATAAGGCACTGAGGTGAAAACATGTGTGCATGGGTTCGAAGGTGGGGGGTGTTACTGGGAGTGAGGGGATCAGCTGTTTGGAATGGAAGCGCAAAGGATTGTGAGACCATCTGTGCTGAGAAATCGACAAATGATAATTAGCGTTTGTGAGTCTGTCTCTTGTTTCTGTTTGAACATTTGATTAAATCTACATGACAGCTAAATTATTGCATTTCCAGGTAAAAGTAAGAAAAATCTTCAAGATGGAAAACTCAATCAGACTTCGGTGTTTATTTTACAACTGAGAACATTTAAAGTGCAGGGACAGGGTCTTGTGGGTCGGGAGGGCAGAGGGCCTGTACCATCCTTGTCATGGACAGCTGGTCCATGTGAGTCAACTGTTACAGCCACATTCACTCTCACACACACGAAACCGAGTCGACTCTTTACTCACTTCACTAAGTGTATAGCAGTCATGTCTTACACTCTGGCCTCGTGAAACTGAACAACGGTGAGTTTATAGCAACTTCTAATCTTATAGTGTCTTTAACATTTGTAGGATCCTGTTACCATGTTTGTTTTTGGTAATCCTACAGAGGTGCCGAAGAAAAGCAAATATTTGCCATCATATGATAAGTTTCAAAGTACAGACCATTACAGAGGGAGATCATGTGGCAAACTGTGGAAGAACATTATAGATAATAAGGCTGTAGCTAACAATTATTTTCGTTATTGAAGTAATGATTAATCATTTAGTCTACAAAAACAAAAAATGCCATTGACAATATCCCAAAGCCCATTGTACTATCTTTCATTTGCTTGTTTTTTACAAAAGCTTAACATGTTTTTAAAAGCAGCAAATTAAAAGCTGAAATCAGAAAATATCATAATTTGTCCTGAAAGAATACGGAAACAATCTCACAATATCCCAATAGCTGCCAATTCATTTTATGTTGATTCATGTATAGCTTTAACTCTAAGAGAGAATAAATTCTACACCCCAAGCTGTCACCTGACATTTCATTCAAATGAGTTAGAGAGAATCTTTTCCTGGTGACATGCCTCTTATTCATAAACTGTGAAGGAGTGCTTGAAATCTGTTGTCCCGTGGACACCTGCTACTGCAAATACCAATGAAACTACTGAGAATGAATCCTTCTCCTATTGTGTGGATGGATCCACGTAGATAAACGCTCAGGGTGTGCCCTTTTCAAACTGGTTTTAAGTTAAGTGACAGACTCAACCTGGAAAGAAGTTCTTCTTCATCGGCTGATTTACATATGATACGTCATTGAAATGGGACGAGATTGAGAAGTCAATCGAATGTTAAAGTTAGACGTCTGTAATGTCACGATGAAGTGGTTTTGTAGATTGTCAGGACAGCTCTGTGTCTTTGGTGGAGCAGTGTTTTTTTAGCCAGTAATCATGTGCATCTGTGTGAGCAATCCCTCCTTAGGCAAACCTTACACACAGCTTAGGTTCCTGCTGACATTTCTAAAATAAAATGACAACTCAGGTGACATTTACCTTGTGTCTCTCTCAGTTAGATAAGATTTAGAGTCCACACGAGCTATAAACATGCAGAAAAAAATCTGAAAATATTCAGATATGGCCTCATTCTACAAATGAATAAATGGTCTTTGATTAGTCTGTAATTGTGTGCCCACCTCCTCCCCTGTATCCATGAACTGAATACCATGGTGCTTAATGCTTGCTGACCTGTGACAGAGCAGTACAGTAATCATAGAGCTTTACATTGTGTTTACTGCTTGTTCTTCATGTTGAGCTAAATGGGTCAGACGTGCTCACTTGTATTTGTCTCTGCATTTGAATGCGTGTTTGTGCACCAACCTTTGTTTGTGTGTTTTTCGTTGCTTTTGTGTTGTTGGTAACCTTGGATTTTGTATCCCGCTGTTAAGTGCTCATTCATCTAGATGGCTACCTTATGTGTGTGCGTGCGACTGAACCTTGACAACAAGGCTCAAGCTAATTCCACTGTATTCTTCTGCTGATTGATTCCTTCTCTCCCACTCTGTCCACACTCAGGTCTAATTGATGGCTACACGGGTGAACGGGCTGCGTTGGAGGAGCAGTTACGTCAGAAGGGAGAGCTGCAGATGAACCTTGAGCAAGAGCTGCAGGTGAGGAGGAAAGATGATAAGCTTTCTGTGAGGCAGCACGTCACTTGACCACGATAAAAGTATATGTTCGTGTTCTGCCTCTAGAATGACAGTTATGAGTCAAACATAAGTACAGTAACTTCAGCATGATGTTTTTTTCCCCTCAATTACAGGCACATGAAGTTTAAAAAGCCAACATGACCCAAACCTGAATATCATTTCAAAGTTTTTGTCTAAATATCCACACTCCAATGGATATATCCAGTTGATAGTGCTTAAAGGATAAGTTTGACTGTATTCTGCAAAACCAACAATAGGTTGATCCCACTAACAAATGTTTTCCTTGTAGCCAAAGTGAAATATATAGATTTTGTTTCCCTCTGTTCCATAGATATTCATTGTTGTCCATTATAAGTGGATATGATTTTTCCCTGCAGGTTACAAGTAGCCGGCTGCAGGAGTTGGAGCAGGAGAGGCTTCAGATGCAGGAGGAGCGGGAGCTGCTGTCACGGCAACAGGACGCTATGAGGGAGAACGCCGGTCCCCGAGAGCTTTGTATGTATTCCAGAACTCCCTCGACGAAGATGAGAATAACCTACACTGTGTGCATACAGTTGGTTGATAGGAAAATATTTGGAAATCAGTATATTCATCTTGTTCTGAGCCAATAATTTTAGATCTTTGTTGCCATGTAGACATCGTTAATCTAGGGGGAAAAAATAGAAAATTAAAGAAATTAAGACCAAAAGTATAAGATTTCACCTGTGTCATAAGATTTTCTTTTCTATTTCATCATGGCTCAAGTATCCAGTTACATTTTGTTTAGCACATTGTATTAAACTACAGTCAAACATTACTCTCCTAAACTGAAACAAAAAACTGTACGCGGGACACCTTTATTTGACATGAATCATTAACCCAGAGTCAGCTGCATGTCATACAGTAGTTTTTAGCATTGTTTTGAATTGTCCTTCAAAGTACTATACTTTACACAGTACATTTTATTGACAGTATACAATTCCTTCGTGTTCCTTTATACTGTTTTCTCTGAAAGGTCTAAAAGTGATTTAAAGGTGCACAGCCCTCATATTGATTTCCTCTGTAGTTCACATGTTTCTGCGACCTAATGAAAGTAATTTGGTACATTTACGAGCGTAGGGATAATCAGGTGGTAAAGTCAGTGAGGGGTGTAAAGACCAAGGGTCAAAAAGTCAATGAAATAATTATATTTTGGTCGAGTCAACATCTTTGGGCTTATCTACGTTGCTGTAACACTTCTTTTTGTGACACGGGTCATACATTTACAGGTATTTACAGAAACATCAAGTCTGATAACTGCATCTGCTCATTTTACATTATATATTATCAAAAAGGTTTCCCATGGGTTTCACTGATAAAGTGGTGAGTATTCTGTATATGAATGTGTAGACCAAAAGGGGCTGTTTCAGAAACCTTTTCCTTTCACATCCTTTCTGCAGCCTTAACCTACAGCTGTGAGGCAGACAGAAAAAAACGCACTGCCAGACTATCTCCACCTTTCTTTCTCCTGTTCATGACAACAACAAGAGCATGTTAAACCCCTGTGCTTTCTTATCCTCCTGTAGGCCTAGTTGAAGCTGCAATGGTTGCAGCACCTGAAGCAGGTGTGTCCACTTTGAGCATGGCTCGCTCATGTCTGTATGTTCTTTTAATTTGTGTACTGTAGCTGAGTGACAGTATACATCTCTTTAACCCTAATCCAGCAACTCACCAACAGATAATAAATAAAAGCTTGGAGCTTGCTTGCTTTGGGCTCACGAACTCACTCAGTTCAATCACTAACCCTCGCTTTGGCTTTTCATTTTGATTGATTTTGTCCTGGTCTGTCATTCCTAATGTCTTGGAGTCAATGTTAGCTCTCATATTAGCATGATTAAATTAAAGTAATCTTCAGAGATTTATCTGTAGTCATGAATTCCTAATTGTCAACCATCTTCACTCTGTGTTTTTTAATGCTTAATGTATGTTTTAGATGTGTGGATGCTGTGTTGACAGCATTTCTTTGAGTGAGATGGTTGGCGGTTCAGGAAGTCCCTCTCCCCCTGCCTGTAAATGCTTATTGGGCATGGATATTGCTGTCTGGACTGTCCATGTGTTTGATCTCTGTCTCATCTGCACTCTCTCACCTTGTCACTTTTGCACTAATCCTGTGGGGTTTGATCCTGGGTGAACCGGCGGGGGTTGTTCACTGGTGACGGCAGAAGGGTAAAGAGGCGCCATGATGGGTGTTCATGTTTGGTAACAGGGCATTATGTCGCGAAGCTGACTGAGATGTTAGAAGAGTCTGATGTTTGCCATTTTTTTCTGTATGGAATGGAGGAAAATTAACCACAATCCATTATATCATAAGGGCACTAGGAACTAGAAGTTTAAATACATAAATAAGTAAATAGAAAGAAATACATTCTGCAGTGTTAACGTAAGAAATGAGACCATTAGAAACTAGAATGACACTCAAGAATGTATACCTCTGCCAACGTTCAACACATTCGCTAGATCAGGATTTTAATTTGAATCTGCACCATATTTCACAACTCATATCAATATCAGTCCCCTAAACATGACTGATTTTATAATCAGGATCCATGTTCTCTGAAAAAACTTTTCTGACCCATACTGTATTCTTGTAAAGCTGCCTAGTAGTTTTTGTGTAATCTTGCTAACTAACAGTCAAACAAACAAGAAAATGCAGACAAAAACATAACCTCTTTGGCGGAGGTTATAAAGAGCTGTTTGAATGAAATCCACAGTGTTGCAAAGGAAAAATTATTAACATTGCAAAGAGCAAAATAAGCATCAATTGTAATTTACCAGGCGCAAAAACATCAGACTCTTCAGATCCATCTCAGCATCCTGCTCATCACTGAAATCAAACCTGAATGACTTAATAACTCCCGTCAACCACCTCCAGGTGTCAGGCAGCGATGCCTAACCTCTCCCTCTCTCCGTCCTCCTGTAGACCTGCTGGAGGAGACAGAGAAGCTGATGAAAGAGAAGGTGGAGGTCCAGCGTCAGGCAGAGAAGGAGAACGCAGACCTCCTGAAGCAAGTGAAGCTGCTGGAGGCCGAGCTGGAGGAACAGGTCAACAGGGTGATAGAGCTGGAGCAAGCTCAGATGACCGAGAGCGGAGACCTGCAACAACAGATCCAAGCTCTGGAGAAACAGCTGGAGAAGAACAAAAGGTTCCTCGATGTAAGTGACAAAGAAAATTAACTCTGCTTTTCCTCTTCCTTTCCTTTCTTTGTTGCATATCTGTTTTAATGTCTGTCTATTTCTTTTTTTTGTCCTTCTTTAATTTGGTGTCCAGGAACAAGCTGTGGACCGAGAACATGAGAGGGATTTCTTCCAGCAGGAGATCCAGAAACTGGAGAAGCAGCTGAAGAATCCACAGAAGCTTCAGGCAGGCTCTGAGCAAAGAAACCGAGAGGTAACAGGAGAAAGCTCTGTTCACTGTGTACCAGGCAGTAATAGAGATGCTCATTGTTGTGGCTACAACATTTAGGTCGGACTCGCACAAAGAGCTGGTAGAATTACTTGTGCTGTTTGAAAAATGATCCCACCCAGTGTGAGAGCTATGCAGGAGAATAAGTGGGATTAACCTTTGTCAGTTTGAAAGTTGTGTAATAGTAGGTTTAATTGCAATGATCCTAAAATTCACAAAACACTGGGAGTGCTAAAGTTAGTCACTGCAGAATTTTGTCAGAAATAAAGCAAAGTGTCTGCATCATGTGTATTCTGACAGAAGGACAATAACAATGTGTAATGTGACTCCTAATGTCAGGTTCGACAAGTGAAAACTCTTGTCAGGGTCATGGTGACAGTTCACAGGATAAATTAACTTAAGTTTCTCTGTTTTGTCTTTGGGTAATGCTATGTGTTCCTTTTGTTTGTTGCATATATACACATATTATTCCCCACTTGCACTTCTGCTTCAACTTTATCACTTTTATCATTTCCAGAGACTTGTGCCACACTTTCATCACTAAGTGCTTTCTCCTCCCTTTTGCCCTTGAACTCTCCATCCTCTGATCCCTTATGCTGCTGCCTTTTCTCCCTCGTGGCTATTGCAGGTGGACGGAGTAACCTTTAAGGTATTGCTTCTAGCTTCATGTAGAGTCAAGTCTCCCCAGAGAGCAATCAGTGCATTTTAAGTGATCCTGCCCGACCCTGTAGCAATTAATGACCCTCTCCGTCTCTGTCACCCCCGTCTCTCTCGGTTCCCTCTGTTTGGATCTGCTTTATTGTTTTACTTCTGAACTTCACAACACAACCATGTCTCATTCTGATCCATCCTCCTGTCTCTCCCTCAAATGTCCTCATCAGCAAAACAGATAAAAAAATTAAGTTATACAAAATGTGAATGGAATAAGTAAAATAACCTGAGATGCATGTTTGGTTTGTAAGAATTAGACTAAATCTTGCTTTAACAATGTTGAAATTCTAAACTTTTTCATACTTATATATATATATATATATATATATATATTATTATTATTTCATTAATGAAAAATAAAACAATTTAAATTATTGTAATAAGATAATAATAATCATCATAATAAACTTAATTTCCAGAGCAGAAAATCGTGCAGGAAATAGTGTAGAAATTCTGGTAAAGTCAAGCTTAAAAAAATATTAATAACCCATTCTGCGCTCAAGTGCTCTCATGAAGAGTCTGTACTACACTAGAGTCATATAAATATTTGATGAAGAGCTGCCAGTGAAAGGATGTATTTCATCAGCCTTAGTGCAGTTTCATCTTCTTGATCTGAATTGCATCTCAGAACCTTAAAAACAATATATATATTTATCAGTTTTTGTTGAAGAAACATAATCTTCTTGTTTGATCGAACAGTGGAAAGTTTATAAAGTAGATGCTGTTTCTAGAATAAGGACACGTTGGATCATTTTCATTTCCCAGCTCATCCTCAACAAACCCTGCCTCGTCCTGTTGCTCCCGCTCATTGATCTGCTGCTGTTTTGCCATCTCACAGGTGGATCAGTTACCTGCCAGCCGTCCTCCTGGTTATTGTTTTGCTCTGTTTGTGTCCCCCTGAATGGAATCTCTCTCTCCCGTCTGTCCCTGCACCTCTTTTCTCTCCTGGCCCCCTCCTTTCTCAGGTGGATCAGCTGACCTCCCAGCTAGCTGTACTTGTATCAGCTATGCTGTGGCGAGTGGCGTCTGTGAAAGAATCTCATTAAAAGACCCCCCCCCTCCTCTCTCTCCCTCTCCTCGCTCTCTCTCTCTCTCTCTCTCTCTCTCTCTCTCTCTCTCTTCCTCTCACTATCAGGTGGACCAGCTGACCTCCCAGCTGAAGGAGAAGGCGGATTGGTGCAGTGAGCTGCTGCTCAGCTCGGAGCAGCTGCGTCGTGAGTTGGGAGAGCGCGACGAAGAGATTGACAAGCTGGAGAGCCGCATCCGCGAGCTGGAGCAGGCCCTGCTGGCCAGCGCTGAGTCCCTGGAGAAGGTAAGGAATGGGAGGGGAGAGGGGAAAGGGACAATGTGCTGCAGACTAAAGCAGACACTGCAAGAAAGAAAAAACCTGAACAATAGCGTGTGAAGCCTGGCTGAGGGTGTTTGTGAGAGAGCATGTAGATGAGGTGACAGCTAGTGGAGGAACGGGAGGAGGGACAGGATGTTCACAGAAGGAGAACAATATGTGGGTGGGTGTACTTCAGCCGCCTCAGCAGTTTGCTTTTAGTGATGATGACACTGAGCTCTGGCTATAAACTGTCAAGATTGCCCCCCAGTGTTGGTGGGGGGCTGTGGTGAGTGAAGAAAAAAAGTGGTGTAGGTAATTCTCCTTTGCTCAGTTGACAAATTGCAAATTGAGTGCTAGTAGCACGATACAGGATTTTTAAATCAAAACATGTGTTTCTTCATGTCTTTCCACGGATGTCGTAAACAACTGCTGAGCTAATTACTTTCTTTCATGTGTGATTTTAATGTATGTGTGCGTTGCAGGTGGAACAAAAGAAACAGCATGCATCCATCACTGAGACCAGACACTCAACACTGGAGGCTCAGTTACAGACGGAGCGGGAAGCTCTGGAGCGCAAAGAGAAAGAGGTTGTGTGACGTTCAGTTTGTGATTTGAGGTTATTTTAATCAGTCAACGAGATTAAATATCACTTGATATATGCATTAATAGATCTTTGATAGTGAACAGTTTATATTAAGTGGACATACATAACAAAATCATTAAGCCTCTAAACCTACCTTATTTTAAACACTGATACTCGTACATAATGAAATCATTTGTAAACACCAGACATTTATTTCTTTTACAAACAATTATTAAACATATTTAATGTATGTGTGTTGGATGATCTGTTTGTTAGATCAGTAAAAATAAATGTTTAGTAGTGAAAAGAAAAGCTGATAAAATCTGTAAGTTTTGTTTGTCCCGACATCGAGGTGCATAACGCTTGTTAGATTTCATGTTTGCCTTGTTGCCTCAGATCTGTCACCTGGAGGAGCAGCTGGAACAGTTCAGAGAGGAGCTGGAGAACAAGAGCGAGGAGGTGCAGCAGCTTCAAATGCAGCTGGAGATCCAGAGCAAGGAGATCAGCAGCCAGCAGCAATACCTAGAAACAAGGGACAGCTTGATCCAGGTAAACAAACTGCAACGACTTTATATCTTTGAACAAGAAGGGAAGCCTGGATGTTAAATGACAGTGGAATGCACTTTCAGTACAGTCATTTTAACTGTATTAAACAATTCAACTCTTACACTTTTAATTTGTTAGCTAATGTTTACAAACTGTTCTGCTAAAGAGCAAAGAAAAATCATTGGTAACCTTTTTTCTCTCTAAAAGATATCATATATAACACAATTATTTCCATACAACATCAATATTTCTGCTCACAAACTGTAAAATTACTAGTTCAATGGGTGTGTTTGCTGCTAATTCTAACCTGCATGTTTTCAGGATGTTAAAAAACGCCCCTGTGACATATTTCTGCTTTCACTGAGTTTTTGAACTTTAAGAGTCCACCACCACAAGGCTGACTCTGATTGGACTCTTTTTGCGTGACGTGTTTTGTTAATAGCCATCGCATTATAATCTCTGACTTTTGAAGGTGATGGAGGAGAAGGACAGGCAAATAGCACTTCTTAATGAACAGATCACTAAGCTTCAACACACGGAAACAGCTTCTGATAACAAGGTAACACAATATGCGTATATGAAATAGAACCAAATTCTATTTCGAATACGCATAGCTCCGTGGTAGTGCATCAATGTGTGTTCTCTGGTTTTCTTTTCACTGTTCACCCCATTTTTGTTGTTGGGTCATTTTGTGCTTGTTTTGTTTTGGTAGGTAACTCCACAAAACCATCATTTGTTGTGAGGTGATCATTTGCTCATCTGAGGTGGCTTATTAAATCTCTGAGTCTCTGTAGAGCCCTTATAAACTGATCAACTTCAGATATATTAATTGAAACTACTTTATCTATGGCCCGACAAATCTTTCTCAGCACTGCAGGGACTCAGAGGTTTGATCATGTAGCGGTATCACCATGGACTCCTCAAATCAGGTGTTTTTATGGTTTTATAATCTTGATGTTCTACTCTGTAGGAAATTGATGTGAGGGATGAGCTGATAACAGACCTGGAGTCCCAGGTGGAATGCCTACGGAGTGAACAACAGCGTCAGAAGAGGAATAATGAAGAGGAACTTGACCAACTGAATGCAGTCATAGACAAACTTCAGGAGGAACTGGCCAATATCGAGCAAAAACAGGCTGCAGAGGAAGACGAGGACCTCAAGGGTGAGGCAGAGCATGGCGCATGGGGGCCTGCTACAGAGGACTATGATGAAATGAAGCAGAGAATGGACCTGACCACCAAAGAGCTTGACACTCTGAAAACAGAGCACAGTAAACTGATGGAGACATATCTGTGTTTGAAAGAGAGCACAGACGCTTTGTATGAAACAAAAAAACTGGGTAGTTCAGAGGGCGAGTTCGAAGAAGCTCTCAGAGAGAAAACTGCAGGTCTTGTTGTCATGCAGGCCCAAGTACAAGCCCTGGAGCAGAGTGCAACGTCCAGGGTGGAAGAGTTAGGGCTCCGTATCCGGGAGCTCGAGGACTTGGTCGTTGAAAGAGACGCTGAGTTAAGCCGCTGTCGCCTCCTTGTGGAGCAAACTCAAAGTGATGCAGATGGTCTCCAGCAGAGGGTCTCTAACCTGGAGGGAGATCTGAGGGAGAAAGTGGCCTTAGGGCTGGTCAGCCAAGCCGCCCCGGAGGCCTTCCAACAGCAGCAGAAGTTGCAGGGATCCAAAGAAAACCAGGACATGCAGAGACGAGCAGAGACACAAGTGAAGCCCAATGATGATCCCCATGTACGTGACTTTGGTGACTTTGGTATTCCCCAAATGGATTTCAGTGGACTGGGCCAAGCCAGACAAGTTTCCACGGGGAAGGTCGTCCATCTGACCCAGAAACTTTGGGAGCTGGAGGTGGGACTCAGTGGGATGCAGAAAGACCAGGAGCTCCAGAAGCAACTGCTCTCCAGTTCTGAGGAGGAGGTGCTGGAGTACGAGAGGAGGCTGGCCGTGCTCATGGACCTGCTTAGTCAGATGAAGGCCAGGACACACCAGAGGTCTTCACCAGCTGTGGAGGTAGGAGTTCAGCCGCTGGTTGTGGAAACAGTTTGAGATTTTGGGCAACCTTAAGGTGTAGTCGAAGATGGTTTCTGTTTTCTTCTTTACCGTAGAAATAACAAATAGAACGATTAAACTCGGTACTTTATATAGGAAAGCACATTTTTAACTTTTCCCTGCACTCAAATTATTGGTGGACCACCAAAACCCCGGTGTATTACTTTGATTAAGTCTCAGACAGTGAATTGTTTTGAAGCTCTGATAGGTTTGAAACTTTGTGATATTTTTTATCAGGCCTCCTCTCCTGATTCCCAGCCATCAGTGTCAGAACTTCTTCAGGAGTTGCAGGAGGTTAAAGACGAGACCTCGGCCACCAAAGAACAGCTCGACACCTACAAGGAGAGCTGCAGCAGACTTCAGGAGGAGCTCCAGGTATGTCACATTAAACAGCTCTTCAGTGTTTGTACCTACTGTGATGTTTTGTGACGATCATCTGCTTTTCTCCCAAGGAAAAAACTGTAACTTTAGAGAGACTACAGGAACAACTTAAAAAGGTAAGCTACGTTTTATATCAACCAATACTTTCTAATCAGCAAACATGTCTACTGTCTACTAGTCTTATCTGATAACACAACCTGGTCACTTTAGGTATCATCGAGTGACAGTGAGCAAGTCAAGCTTCAACAGGAACTCTTGGAGGCTCAAGACGAGGCAGCAGCTGCCAAAGAGGAGCTGAACAGCTGCCGGGAGAGTTTGGAGAAGCTGCAGGAGCTGCTGCAGGTACGGAGGCAGCTGGACACATTTAAACCCTGTCTTTGGTTCTTTGAAATCCCTTGTTGCTGCATAAACAGCATTTTTTTATGAAATATTATTTCACCAATATGTATGCAAGAATTCACACATACATTTATACATATTTTACTAACGCATATATTTTCCTTAAGGAACGGGAAATGACCATTGCTCACCTCAAGGGAGAACTTTTCGAAGTAAGACAAGTGGTATTGCTTTTTTTGTTTTTTGCATTTGTTGCACAGTTTTATCAGTTTGTTTATATTATTTTTCAGTGTAGATATATTACTCTGTATTCAATCTTCTGCTTAACCATCCACCAGGTAAAATCTGTAGATGGAGCCGACAGGACGGAGCTTCTACAGGAGCTGCAGGAGGTCAGAGACGACGTGGCATCCACCAAAGAAGAACTCAGCAGCTCCAGGCAGCAGAATGAGAGACTACAGGAAGAGCACCAAGTCCGTGAACTGTCTCTTTCTAAGCTCAAAGAGGAGCTTCAGCAGTTGATAAAGAATGTGGATTCCACCAAAGAAGAGCTCAACAGCTACAGGCAGCAGAATGAGAAACTGCAAGAAGAGCTCCAAGTCCGTGAACTCTCTATTTCCAAGCTCAAAGAGGAGCTCCAGCAGTTGATAAAGGATGTGGATTCCACCAAAGAAGAGCTCAACAGCTCCAGGCAGCAGAATGAGAAACTACAGGAAGAGCACCAAGTCCGTGAACTGTCTCTTTCTAAGCTCAAAGAGGAGCTCCAGCTGTTGATAAAAGATGTAGATACCACCAAAGGAGAGCTCAACAGCTACAGGCAGCAGAATGAGAAACTGCAAGAAGAGCTCCAGGTCCGTGAAGTGTCTATTTCCAAGCTCAAAGAGGAGCTCCAGCAGAACAGGCAGCAGGATGAGAAACTCCAGGAAGAGCTCCAGGTCCGTGAACTGTCTATTTCCAAGCTCAAAGAGGAGCTCCAGGAGAACAGGCAGCAGAATGAGAAACTCCAGGAAGAGCTCCAATTCTGTGAACTTTCTATTTCAAGGCTCAAAGATGAGCTGAAGGAGGCACAGACAGCTTTGAAGAAGACAGCAGTCTCTGGTCCTCCGTCTACGTCTCCTTCCCCATCACCATCTCCATCTCCTCAGCCACAGTCCTCTGCTCCATCCTCCTCCACCACCCAGCCCAAGAGAAAAGGAGCCAAACAGCCGGCTGGTAAGGGAAGCAGTGCCAAAGATAAACCATCTCTGTCCAAGAAGAACTCTACTGGTTCCAGTCAGTCCTCCAACAGATCTCACGGCTCCCGGCTGAACAGCAGCTTCGAACAGCAACATGTGGCTGTGACAGAATCGTTCACGCAGACCGAACCTCTCCAAATGTCGGACTTCAGCACTGAAAGCAAGTCTGCCGCCAAAGAGGAGATGGAGGAGATGATCAGCGAGTTTGAGGAGAAGATTGTGCAGATGCAGGAGCTCCACGCTGCAGAAATCCTGGACATGGAGGCTCGGCATATTACCGAGAGCGAGAACCTGCGGCGGGACATACAAGCACTAGAGGATGAGTGTAAGGCACTCAAGTCCGTTATCGACAAGCTACGCTCTGCTGAGGTGAGGAAACAAGAAAGATGGGGTTTGATAATATTTAAGCTGTGACTGTGTTTACAATGTGTCTGTAGTAAATGCTTAATACTGTCAGTGAGTTTTGTGTAAGAAAAGTTACTTTTTATCTTGTTGACTTCTGAAAATTACTAATTTCAATTTACAGTCATATAAAATAGAGAAAATCGAGTTTAATATTTAATCATAACATAAGGGGAAAGATGAATATAGAAACTTTAGTTAGATGTTAAATGTTTTATTTAACACTCGGAAACATGTTGGAGTTGTCTCTAATACAAAGAAGATCATTTGAATCATTTTGTCATTTCCAGGCTCCAACATTAAGACAAGAGCGTTCTATGCCTCAGTTCAAAGATGGATACACCAGTGGTAAGATACAACACGTTCATTACTCCTCAGTTCACATTAGTGCTTCTCTTATTTCAAGAAGAAGATGAAGATGAAAATGCATTTCGTTTTCTTAATGTAAACATGCACTAAACCTGACAGTGATTAAGCGTCTCTTTTCTTCAGTACCCTTTGTGTGTTTGGGATTTTGCTTCAATAAACAGTTTACATAAATAACCTGAGTGCTATAAACCACATAGTCCTGAGCAAGCAGTCTGCTGTTCTGGTTTCAGCACCTGTGTGTTTCTGTTCTGAGTCTGTGTGGTGATAAATCTCAGGATAGAACAGTATTCCTCCCAAAAGATTTGATCATCACTTTAAAATAGTTTGTCAAAACCTCCCGTGATTTTTCAGGTTTTCATTAGCAGTGATAATCATTTTCATGCTTTGTGTACCTGTGCCATGTAAAACCAGGTGAAACACTGCCCCCTCAGTTTATCTTCTTCAGCAGATGTTAATGATCATTAACTATTCTCAGTATTTCGTTTCAAGAGTTTTTTGTTGTGCTCTTGCAGACAGCAGTTCAGACTACAGCCAGCGGACTGGATATGACCTCCCAAGTTTGCACCAAGAGTTCAGGACGACTCCAGAGGGCGCCAGGAGAGAAGCTGATGATCCAATGCCTGACCGCATCAAAGTAAAAACCTTTCCCTCCATAAACCTTTATTTATGGCTTACGGTTAAGTTACGATAAATGATGAAAGAAATATATTGATGTGTATATTTTTGCATGTGCTGGCATTTTAAACCAAGTTTTTAAGGGAATCTGTTTTAAAACAAGAAACATAGAAGCATTTTAATGTTTTGGAAAAGACTGAAACTAATTCTAGAAACATTCCCATGTGGTGTTTGTTTATTTAGATGTTGCTCCGTGAGGTTCACCAGGAGGGGATGCAGGTGCTCTCTCTGTCAGAGATGCCGCTTCCTGGAGGCGAGCCGGGCAACCAGTTCAACGTCCAAGGCTGGATGAAGGAAAGGGATGATTTGCTCGCAACCGTGGAGTCTCTCAAAGGCCTCATCACTCAGATGCAAACACACAGAGAAACACAGGTAGAGGAAACCTGCCAGGAACCTTCACAATACACTTCTAGGTTTCATTGTGTGCTCATGCATTGATATCTGTGTCTCTGACCTGCTCCAGGCGTCAGGTAGCGTGGACTGGCGTGCAGAGCTCCTGGACGCAGTGAGGCAGGTGTTTCTGAGGGAACGAAGCGTCCTGAAGAACATCCTCTACAGCCAGTTGGACCTTCTGGACACCAGTGACGCCATCATCCACCTTAATCAGCTGGAGCGCAGGCTAGCTGAACAGGTCAGTAATAACGACTGTAAAAATGTGCTGACGTTAAGGTCAGATCCAGTTTTATAGTAGAGAATAAAACTTCCTGTATTCTGATCTCTTCCGTTTAAATATTGACCAACTTTATGAACATGCAGTATAAAAATCAGTGGAGTACTTCTTTTAATTTCTCCTTGGTGTCAACTGTTGAAGTTAAAAGACACCAGACGTGACTTCAGTAAAGTATAACCTTCAGAAAAATTCTCCTTATTCCTTAGTTACTGTTAAAATTCAATACAGTCAAGGATGCTAAAGTAAATTCTGCAAAAAAAGCCTTTTTAACTGCTCAGCATGTTTTAACTGTCACAGCTCTGTTTGCACATAAGTGGTCAATAAGTATGTGAACTATGACAGTTTTAAAACTATGTGTGTTCTCTAACCCCACTTGATTGTTTGACATATTATTTTAACCTCTGGCTTTATTCCAAGAGATCATGAAAGTACATTGTCGGGCTCTCTCCGATCATTTCTTACCTCTGTTTTCATCTGAGCCTTTCCATAACTCAGAGGGTTTTGTGATACAGGACGCCCTCCACAGAGACGCCATGGGTTCCCTCCACACTGCAGAGCGGACGAGTCTCATCTCTGAGATTCATCAGCTTCGTGGTCAGTTAGAGCAAATTCATTCAGGTGACAAGAATCTCTTCATTTGTATATTTTATTCCTGGTATATTTTTCCCGTTAATTATTATGGTAGCAGAATTTCAACTTTTGAAAAAATCCCATGTTTCTGCACAGGCTGTGACTGATATTTATTGTTATCAATCAGGTGTCCGGCCTGCAGCTTCTTTGGCTGCTGAATGTAGCATGAAGGAGCAGAGGGAGGGAGGAGCAGCGGACGGAGCAGCGGAGGTCGAAAGGATGCTGGGGGAGGAGCTGAAGGTGGAACTGTCCCAGACGAAACTGGAGCTGGAGACGACGCTCAAGACTCAACACAAACACCTCAAAGAGCTGGACACACTCAGGTGAGACATGATGTTTATATCCTAACACACAGATACATTTCAATAACTGCTGGAGTAAAAATACTTCACTAATACAGATGCATGTTGACAAAGGTATTTCAGTTTTAAACACTCTGTATGTTTAGATTGTGTGAGAATATAGCTCCATTTCCCAGGTCTGAATTGTTGCATTTATACAGTTTGCACCTCACAATCAAATCTGTTGTCGGACTCAGATTCAAGAAATCTAAAATTCTACACGACTTAAGCATCCATTCGCTCTCCTCTCATTAAAATGATCTTATGTCTACAGAGTGGAGGTATCGAAGAAAGCTGCTGAGCTGGATGCACTCAGTGACCAGCTGACAGATGAGAGGAAGAGAAGCAGAGATTTGCAGTGGGCCATGGAGAAGGAGAAATGTCGAACTGGAAGAACTGAGGAGAGTAAACGAGAAGAGATGGAGGTACGAATGCAGTAATTACACTGGAGGACATTTAGGACATTTGAAGGTTTAGTGAGCACTACTTCGACCTTCCTTATTTGTACTTTAAGAAGTTGTATTTCTATATTTAGGATCTCCATCTCAGTCTGGACGAGCAGAAGAGCCGTGTGGCCCAGCTGACCCTCACCCTGAACCAGGAGCGCCAGGCCTCGTCCCAGCTCTCCCAGCAGGGTGAGCAGGAGCGTCTGAGTCTCCAAAGACACCTCCAGGAGCTTCAGGTCCAGTTAGACACTGAGCGAGCCAAGGTCCTGGAGATGAGTAATGTACTTGGGAGAGAGAGGGAGCTGCGGACAACTGCCACCTCCGAGTACGTCTCCTCCAATGAGGAGTGGGTGGAGAAGGACAGCAGTGGCGTCGAAGAGGAAGGGAGTCTGCTGGAGAGACTGCAGAGGGAGCTGGATAACAAACACACACAGGTGGGATGTTTGTGAAGTCAGAATATTTTTGGATTCTTTGAATATATAACCCTGAAATGTTACACCTGTACTCTGATCCAAAAATGTATTTAAACTGCCATTTTTGATCTTAGCTGGATCTACGTCCGATTAAATATTTCTCAGGGGTTACCACATGTCAGGTTTAACTCCTTTTTTAACTTGATTTTTCTTCAGGTGGTGCATCTCCTCGGTCAGGTGGAGGCCCAGAAGCTCGAGGTGGTGCGAAAAGAGGAAGAGCTGAATTTGGCGAGTCAGAGGTCGAGAATGGACCAGGAGACGCTGCTGGAGGCTCGGGCCCAGCTGGAAAACCTGGAAGCACAAATTTCAGAGACCCAGGAGCAGCTGGAGAGAGAGATGGAGAGGAGGAAGAGCCTGGAAGACGAAAAGGAGAGACTGGAGGAGAGGCTAACCCGAGTGGAAGAGCAGAGAAGACAAAGGGAGGGGAGCGGAACGCAGCAGGCTGACAGCCACAGTGTAAGAATCACATAATGCTTACCTCTTAGTGACTCTTCTCTGTCCTGACTCAGGAAGTATTACATTTATATTGTTTTTATCTAAACAGCAGGCAGCCTGGCACAGAGATTCCCCCGACCGCACCACAGACTGGGTGTTCCAGCAGAAGAGTGGGAATGCGTCCCCCCACCTGCAGCTCTCTCCAACAGGTCACACCAGCGGACCTCATCACGGTCCTTGGCGCACAGTCGACAAGATCGTGGGCAAACTCCATCTCGTTTCCTCAAAGATCCGCAGCATGGCAAACAAGACTACTGGCAGGTAATTCAAGTGGCTGCAATCAATATATCTAGAGAAACTCTTATATGACTGTTGTATGTGGGTTGTGTTTGTAGTTACAAACCTACAGACAGTTTGTCTGTGTTTATATGAAGCATTAATCCTTAATCCTTTTTAATAGCTTTTTCCCTACGTGTGTCCACAGGCTGACTGCAGAGGTTGACAGTGAAGAGTTATCCTGGGTACAGTCCAGTGTTGATGAGGTCATAACTATGCTGCAACAATCCCCAGGTCTACCCTCCATCCCTGAGGTCAGTAAACAACTTTTTTTTTGGTTTTGATTGTTTGAATTCTGATTATTTTTGAATTGTCTCCCTGTTCACTTCCACTCACACAAACAATGAGTTTATCCTCCTAAATCAACTGTTTCATGTTTCCAAACCTTTGACATCTGTTTTTTCCCTCATGTGTGATTTGTTTCCCCTCAGAGTGTGTCCCTGCTGGCAGGAGGCTCCTCCAGCTCCTCCAACTCCCTGACAGAGCGGCTGCTGAGGCAGAACGCCGAGCTGACGGGTTTTGTCAGTCGTTTGACCGAAGAGAAGAACGATCTGAGAAACCACACCCTCCGCCTGGAGGAGGAGCTCCGGCGTTACAGGCAGACTGGACTGGGATCAGGAGAAAGTGTGAGTAGACACGGAAACAGCTCTCCCTTCCCCCTATGTCATTTGATTCTATCATAATTATTATAAAAAACTACTCAACGTCAACTTTATTGTTGTTTGTACCACATCATACCAGACAGCAGCAATAGTTATTAGTTGATTAATCGATATTCTCCTACAGTCCATCAGCAGGAGAGGAGTGTCAAAGATGGACTCGGCCAGTGCGCTGCTGTCCCATGAGCGGGAGGCTTGGACTCGAGAGAAGATCCGTCTGGAGAAAGCTTTAAATCTGGCTCAGACACAGGTGGCCCGACTTAGAGGAGAGATCAGGACAGACGCCCTGCGGGAGATAACTGGACCTGAGGCTGACAACGCTGCACTGAAGGTCAGCTGATAGCTGCTAATTAGTCCCTTTAAGTCAACTTGTATCAGAGGATTAAGTTGTTTATAAACTGTAGCTCTCAGAAACTCAACCATCAGATCAATGTTGATGGTTATTTTTTTTCTTTCCTCCTCTGTCCCAGAGGATGTATGGGAAGTACCTGAGGTCAGAAAGCTTCCGTAAAGCACTGATCTACCAGAAGAAATATCTGCTGTTACTGCTGGGAGGCTTCCAGGAGTGTGAGGAGGCCACGCTGTCGCTGCTGTCCAGGATGGGCGGCCGGCCGTCGCTCTCCAGCCTGGAATCCTTCAATCAGCGTCGCCGAGGGCTGATGCGCTTCCGCTCTGCCGTCCGAGTCTCTATCGCCCTCTCCAGGTCGGCTGCTGGAGCTCTGGGTTAATTGATTTTATAACTGATGAACCTTGTATCGCCATTTTAATAAAAACTAATGTTTTTCTCTGTTAATGCAGAATGCGTTTCCTAGTGAAGCGATGGCATAAAGCCACAGGGATGAACTCCACAACCTTCTGCAGTGTGAACAAGAACGGAACAGGTCAGACATCAGGTAACAAAGACATAACATTTCATTATTTCTACATGTCGGAGAAAATCATCTGGAAGTGATGCTCAGTTCATTTTTCTTTCTTTTCTCTCTCAGGTACAGAGGTGAGAGATTCCCCTTATCTCCTCCACCCAGGCAGCGTAGAGATGTACAGAGACAAGAGCAGCGCAGGAGGAGTCTCCAGCAGCAGCAGAGGGAGAAGTGGACGAGAGTCTCCCCGGTCAGCTGTCTGCTCCACCCCCCACAGGTACAACATACAGAGAGGCTGCTGCTTACTAATATTATCATATTTAAATGTTATAAATTAGAATCCTCTAGTTGATCAGATGATTTATTGATGGATCGTTGCTGCACTGACTAACTGTACATCAGCATCCCTCTTTAGACATTAAATGGAGATTCAGATTCTCGATGTCTTGAAATGTCGTTCTGTTACTGACGAGGAGATTTCTGTTGTTTCTGCTCTGTGCAGGTTTCACTTGGCCGGAGACCATGGAGCTCTCACCTGCTCCCACCTGCAGAGCTACGACCCCGACCGAGCGCTCACCGACTACATCTCCAGACTGGAGGCTCTGCAGAGGAGGCTAGGGAACGTGACATCAGGTAACGTGTGCATCACTGTGGGGTTACGTGCGAAGAAAGCTGCTTCTGTAGATTGACGGGGAAGACAAAGGATGTTACACTTTGAGACAGATATCAGTATTTGAGAGTTGAACTAAGGGATTGTAAAAATTCACGCTCAAACTCAAAACTCAGCAACATGAATCCATTCAATCAATTAAAATGAGCTGTCATGAATAAATGTTTGCTAACAGTATGAATGTAGATTATCTCTAAAAGTGATTTACTGCACAGAGGACGATGTTTACTGTGTAAATGCTTTGAATTGACTTCACTGAGTTGTTTATTCCTCCTGAAACGTTCTCACATTTACTAAACCACCTTTGATTTTCTCCGCAGGTGCTTCTTCGTACGCTCAATTGCACTTTGGCTTGAGACGATAGATGCTGACAAGTTGCTTTGGCTTGAAGAAAGTTGCTCAGTTGCCTTTTCTCGTGCTGAGCGCTCTGCTGTTTTCTATCACTCTGGTGTGGACTGTATCTTTCCATGTGTGGACCAAAACACATTTTTTTATTAGTGTACGACATGTTGTATTCAGGCTTTTTGTCGCCAGCACTTGAAAAACAGCTACGTTTGTAATTTAATCTGCCTCTTTGTTGTGGATAATCTACAATCATGTATATTTGTCTAATGCTAATTTAAGACCTCGTGATTAATTTATGTTCGTGTTCGTATGGGTGGAGCGTTAACGTAAGGAATGTTTGGGTTCAATGTTGAAGAGGCTGCTACTGGAAATCCTACACTACACTGTGTTTTGTTGAGGTCGGACAGACTACAGAGGACATTTGTAGAGAAAGTATTTTTGTAAAGCGTTAGGAGCTTTGAATTTTCTGGGTATTTTGTCAAAAACTGAAATAAAGAGGACAACATTATTTCAAAAAGTGCTGCATCTTTTGTCTTTAATTTACCAACAAGTTAAGAAAGTTTTATTGGGTCCATTGGGACAGTACTGGCTATTTTTGTTTTTTTTACTAAGGATTAAGGATCATCCAGTTTTTCTGTCAAATTACAAACTTTATTTATTCCATGTTTCAATGTTCTGCATTGCATCAACAGATATTTCAAGATAGAGGTTAATCTCACCATCCTGTTTATCTTATCTATAGTTGCAGTTCAGTCATTCCTTATTGTAGTATTTTTAAGAAATATTAATGTTGTGCAGTAACTTTTTCTTGGATCATAATGTGACCTAACAGAAAATAAAAGCAAAAAGTTTAATTCTTACTTAGGAAGGCATCATTCACACATGAACATCATCATTGCTACCATATGATCATAAATTACTTTTTCCACCTTTATTAGTTTAGGTCTGATAGAAGCAGACACCCATCGGCCTATACAATATATATATTTACCAGCCTTAAACCTGAGCAGAAGTACAATCAGCAGAAATAAAGAGTTCAGTTACAGTGGAAAAAAGACAAAACTGAAGTTCTTCACATCAAACATTGATTTTCCAGGATCAGAGCGTCAGCAGACATAAAACACTAAGTGCAGCATTGTGATTCGGTTTGAGAGCTGATGGGATTTTGTGTTATTTGGTGCAGGAAAGGGTTTCAAGGGTCTGTCTGAGGAAGTAGGATTAATAAACATGGTGAAACGATCACACTGCATGTTTTCTTTCTGTTCTGGAGCTTTCAATCTTATCACATGATCTTTTCTCAGCAGATCTGTTTTTTTCAAGTTTCTTTATCTGAGCCTTTTCTATCTTTAAGTCTTGGACAAAAAGGTCAGAAGACAATACATGCAATCTGATCAGGTCGCAATTTTCTGTCCAAGCCCCTCGACAGCTCCTGACAAACGGGTCCACAGGAATTTTTTTTTTTTTTTTAAGAATTCACATTGTGAATATGAGCATCAGTGTTCAAGTCAGAGTTACACACAACAGGTGTATTCTGCTCTGGAAACACAAGTATCTAAACAATGATGTATCATGTTAACATTCAGACAAAACCATGGACTCCAGATCTAAACAAAGGAAGCAGAAAAGCACAGGCTTGATATTTAGACAGAGTGAAGTGTGTTCATCTAAAGTTTCCTCAAATCAAGTCCCAGAAAGACAGAGATCAAGTTGGATTCACTCCTCCTTCCCTGTCTTCTTTCAGTGGCTCACGGTTTTCTCCTCTTGTATCTGATGACGGGGTTGTGAGGCGTGTGGATCATCGTGGTGTAGTCGATCGTGGGGAAATATCCGTCCACCAGGTCAAACTCAAACATGCGCAGTAAAGTGGACCAGATGGTTTTGATCTGGACGTAGGCAAAGTTCTCCCCGATGCAGCGGTGACGCCCTGAAATACAGACGAGGAAACGAAATATTGTTTTTATTTGGATTTATACAATTTGACTCATGTCTTTGTTTGTTTCATAGGATTTAATAAAAAAAAACAATAAAAGAGATCGATTTAACAGTTGGCACAGACAT